GGTCTGTATTCAAAACCTCAAAATGAAAGATTTATAACGAATACAGGATTTTTATAAATTATAATTAAAATTGAAAATTGTATAAAAGAAATGCATACAAATTTTCAAGTTACCATTAATTTTAAAATCTTACTATTTCACTACTTTCGAAATGCGTTATAAAATTTTGCAGTATTTTCAAGAAGTTAGATTTGGTTTAGTTTTGTTGTTTCACGACAAATTTGTCTTCCAGACCGGTTGAATATGAAAATAGTTTCTTCGTGGCTGGATCAGTATTTTTCGATGGAAGGTCGATGCTCTAAAACTCGAAATCAATTAATTCCTCAAATGTCATTAACGTCCAAATACGTGCACGTTAAAACCTGAAATGCACCATGAAACTATTTTCTATATTTATCATTTACATACACGAGACACTATAAATGTACGGTTCTTATACTGAGGTACACTTTATTAGTTAGGAGTTACACTAAAACTCAAACATAAACTATATTTTTGAATACTTTCATAGTCCTCGACTCACCTTTGTACTGCCGAAATAGCCGGACAGCCGAGAATTCATGCCGAAATAGTTTTTAATTATTAAAAATAATTTTGTTGAATTAACACAATTTTGTCTGATTGAATGAATATTATAAATAGTTCATGCAATTAGTTAAGCTTTGTTAAACTTAATTGCAGGAGTAAGTATTGTGAAGACGAGTTAAAATAGGATCGAGTTTTCAAACTTGTACTACCAATACCCACATAATACCGAAGCGATGCTTCCTAGGCCCTTTAAAGTGTTTCCATATCCCATAGGAACAAGACTTCAGGACTGGTAAAGTCTGGCAAATGACGTGGTTGGAGGGACGGGAAGGCGACAGTGGAGAAATAAGGAAAAGTTTGCGAGGATAGATGGGATCAGTGGGGAAGTGGAGGTGACACGTTGCACCCGGATAATGTTCTTTGGCAGTATGCTGCAAAATACCTTATCAACGCTTTTACAATTTTGCAGATTTAAGTTTTCAATGCCCCCTCCACACCAGGAGTGGTCAAAAGCTTACGAAAGTCGAAATAAATGTAAAATTAAATTGAAGGAAAAATACCGAAATTCTTTTACCATAAAATCAACTTTTCTTTCTGCATTTTAATCTCAACGGTCAGCAATATTGCAATGGTTCTCTAGCACAGTACGAGGCATATAATGCTGTACTACTGTTCGGGGAAAAGGTGCTTGCATTGGAATGCATTAAACCAATTTTCAGTTTTCATTCTATATTTAGACTGCAGTTTTCACTTCGGATTATGTATATATCACACGCTACCTTCGTAGGTAAAGGTAAAGACATTTCTTTCGAAACTGAAGTTGTCGGTAGCAGTTCTGCTGTCACTCGCGCTTGTAGATCAACAGGGTCTTCGGCTACGGTCTCAATGCAGGCTAAATATCTGCCGCTCGCTAACGGAACAAACAATAAGAATTTGATTAAAAATTAATGTATGTAGTCTGGAAGATTTTCAGAATTTAAATGCAACTAAATTGTTAGATACTTAGTTTTACTGTAACATCAATGTTTGACGCAATTAAAAATATTCTTTGACCTTCAATTCGTGTTTCAGAGATTTGCCTGCAGCAGAAGCTTCAAATAAAGCCGAAGGTAGTCTAAAAGTGTAGTTAGAAATATAATTGTAACAGTCATTATTTCAACATTGTGTAAAAGTATATTGCATATTTTAAGATGCCAAACTAATTTGATTAATTTTAAAAACATTGTGAAATTTAACGTTTTTCATTTTCGTTTTTACATTTTTAGTGATACTTGCAGTTTGCAAAGTTGAGACATTAAGAAATATGCAACTATACTTCAGTAATTTTATGGATCTGGTGCACCAGTTCAAGAATATTAATTTGATTGAATAGATTTAATGTAAAAAGTAGTTCTTTAGGAATACATTTTATGAACAGGTCAAAATTACATGAATGTATTTTAGTATTGTAAATGAAGAAAGTTTTTCACATCTTTTTCATGTAAAGATAATTGGTGCAAGGAAAACTAAGACCACTTGTAAATCATTTCTTTGAATAATTTGGAGCAAATGCCGCTTAAGCATTCCTCATTCCAGTAGCGTGTTCACACCCATCCTTAAAATTCAAATAAGGTTTTAATTGACATATTTAAATTTTGTGAAAAAAATGTACCTAGTTACACAATTTGATACTTCTATTGGAAAAATTGCATTGAACTCTTGACACTATTGTAGTGAATTTTCATTGGAAATATAAGCGAAGTATTATTAAATTTTAAATATAAAGTTTGTTCATCCCCCAAAATCGAATAAACCTTAAATAAAAAGCTGTGCATTGATACTAATGTAAAATAATACGTACTGTACTGGTTATCCAGTGCGGGTCCCGGCCATGGGACATCAATACAGAGGAGTAATTTTTGTAGCACTGAATATGATGGAGAAAGGACAGGGTTCTTTTTCGTGTTGGCTCGCTTGACTCAAGACGTATGGGGAAACAACTATTTAATGAAATAAATGTCCTGTTGATGAATGAATCAAATTGAAAACTTTAAACATTTGTTGTCGACTTTTGAAAACTCTTTCTACTAGTTTGAATACTTTTAAAATGGTGAATACTATTCCGTAACTTACGAATCCTCTTTACCCTTGATGACGTGAAATAACCAATATACTTCTGATATTTAAACCACACTTTACAATTACAGTGAAAGCCCAAATGAAAATAAGTGGATATATTTACATGTCAAATTTGGAAGATTTGTTGGACAGTCCCAGTACTACAGTCTTCCTAACAGTGTTTTTTGTATATTACAATCTCGTCTCCGGAATTGCGATTTCCCTTTGGCTATTTTGGTGCCCCGGCTCCCCTTCCCATCCCAACTCCACACAGGGGCAGCCGGTCTCACCGTGGCCTTTCGTGTCTTCGGCACCACCCGAAGTTCTCTCCATCGCGCAGCAAAATTCGTTGCCAGCTGGCTGCCAGTCTGGTCGTCGGAATTTTCACTCGTGCAGGCCTCAAAATTCCCTCGCAAATGCAATGCCCTTCACGCGGGGATTAATGAAGAGGGTATTCAAGAGGACCAGAAACGAGAGGGGCTCATTGGGTCAGAAAGATGTAATTCGTGACGTTATTTGAAGTTCGCATACCCCCCCCGGCCCCGCAAAGCACCACAATCTCTAACTCCCGCGATTTTTCAAAATTGTCCTTAGCAACCCTACCATCAAAATAAGTATTCTAATCGGCCTTGTTAGAACTAGGCAACCAATACAAAATCAGTGTTAAAAATATTAATCGTTTTATGCACTTTAGAAAGTGCAGTCTATTGTACAGCTGAAGAAATTAACAAAAATTCACGCATTTTAATTCCACTGTTTTACATTTTAATTACAAAGTATTTTTTATAATTCCAAAAGAAATTACATTAGATCATTATAGAATTGAAAAAAATTAATTGAAACCTTACTTAAAATCAAAACGATTCATTTACATTATGGTACCAAGAACCTGTCTGATATGTAATGGAATCTTTCAATATGTGATGGGAGGTTTTTCGAAAAACGAGTTGGTAGTCTGACAGAAGCTACTTGCGGCTAAAATATATCTCCAATTTAATTATATTCTGCTCTTAATCTAAAATAAAATGTGCAGAAGTAGATAATATGTTGTCAATTTGCTCGTACTCCTTTAAGTGACAAACCATCGTGTCAATGCAAAGTATTTTTTGTGAGAATGCATATTTTAAATATTTCTCAGCATATTCGTATTTTACATTTTTGTGGCATATTGGAAGGCATATTTTAAGACTACAAAAGTGTATGGACATTCTAACTTTATTGATAACTTGTCGAAAGCGTCGAAACTGTTCGACAACATATTGGAAAAAATTGAACCAATGCAGCGAGATATTCAAGGGAAAACGAAATATATGCAGAAAGGGAAAGGCAAAGGCACAAAGGATATCACTTTCACAATATACGAGTAATAGACATATACTCTATATTAACACAAAACACAATGAAATAAATCTACCAACTATAATTTCAAAATGGGGTAATAGAGTAAACAAAGAAGTAAAGTGGAAAACGTTAGAGACAGAAGAGATACCAGCAGAAATAATCAATAATCAAGGGAATTCAAAGCATTTACCTGCATTCACAAATGCAGGTAATGTATAAAAGTCGAAAGTTATTTACAAGAAACTGAGATCTCAGACTAGACTACGTGTCGTCGAATCTTTTGAATATATTTACCAGTCAATCTGTCCATGCGTGTGTGCTAGATTTTGTGCGTGGATGTGTGTCTCTTTTCGTACTTCGCACTTGTGTTCGTGCTTTAAGTATGCTAGGGTGTTTGTGCATGTTTGTCTTCTAGAGTCGTATGTATGTCTGTGCATGTCTTTTCCATTTGTGTTCGTATGTGTTCACTTGTGTTGAAATTGAAAATATTTCTCCTTAGACACAAACACCAAATAATACATACTAGTTCAGTTAATACATTTATTTATTTGAATCAAAGTATTTTACAAATTAAAAAATATAATTATTTTCTTAGAGTATAAATATATAAGATTGGATACCAGATTTACCATGAATGTGTACGTATGCGCGTTCGTCTGCTCATACTCGTGTGTGTATGCTTAAGAAGAGGAGACATTTTTCATTACAACACCCTGAAATGTCCTCTCATATCTGATGTAAAATTACCCAGAACCAAATTACCAATTAATTAGGAAGTTCATTGCTGCCATCAGTTTTCACGTTCCAGTTGAAATTTAAAATAATACTTTTTTAGGCACTATCATCAAATAATACACTCATTTATTAAATATATTTACTTAATGTAAACATTTTACTTATTAAGAAAATAAGATTTTTTTCTTAGAAAGCAAATGTGTAGGACGTTTTCAACAAGTATACTAACCTACGCATTAACAACTGTGTCCTGATAAATTGAATTTTTTATTTACGATTTTCTAGTTTTATGTATAAACCTTCAGTGGTTTTTAAAATCAATTCGTAACTAAATGTAGGCTTCCTTCCAACACCTATTAACTTATAATTTCTCAATACTTTGCTGATTAAAACTTTAATTTCCATCATTGCAAATTTTTGACCTGCAAAACAATATGTAATTAATATGTGTTGTGTTCCAGTACAAAATACAATTATTAAATTAGAACTGCTAAAAAGCGCATACGTTCTTGCAAAATTATGTTATCGTTACGTAATATTACGTCACAATTTCTATCTCTTACACTTCAAGTACCACTTTGACGGTTAACCAAACAAACTTTGAAAAAAAAAGTTTTTTTATTCAGGAGTTTAAATGAATATATATTTCTGACATTGAATATAGGGTATTAAGGTATTCAGTGTATTACGGGAAAAGTACTAAAATTTACGAAAAATTGTTCATGACCTTGTTCAAAAATCTATCTTTAAGGAACATATCCCATGCGTACACTGTATGATCAAAAGCATCCGGACACGTCCAAAATGGTGTTATGGTGTGATCGAGCACCTGTTCATACTGCACGGCCTGTGGCGGAGTGGTTACACGCCAAAAACAACCCTGTACTGGACTGGCCTGCACAGAGCCCTGACTTGAATCCTATCGGATACCTTTGGGATGTTTTGGCACGACGACTTCGTACCAGGCCTTACCGACCTTCGTGTAGGCCGCCCCGTCCTTTGATTCCTCTCCTTAGTGCATCACTCCGTGAAGAATGGGCTGCAATCCCCCAATAAACCTTCCAGCACCTGATTGAAGGTGCCTGCGAGAGTGGCAGCTGTCATCAAGACTAAGGGTAAGCCAACACCCTATTGAATTCCAGCATTACCAATGAAGGGCGCCACGAACTGGTCATTTTTAGCCACGTGTACGGATGCTTTTGATCACATAGTATATACATATGTATAATCTTTTTTAATCTAAAAAAAATTGTTCTAAAACATCACGTAGAACTTTCTCGCCCGTATTTTGATGCAAAATTACGGGAAAAGTACAAATATATTAGATTTTGAAACAAGGTCATGCACAGTTTTTCTATCTTTAAGGCACATATTTCATCAAGGGAAAAATCCTCCCTCTTTAATATTATAGTTGGACACAGATGCCGAAAAAATGTTCAAACTTATGCAATTTTCGAAAAATCCCCATATAGGGCCACATTTTACTCTTCTAGAATATTTTAAAATAATATTTCGGTTCTACTATTAGGAAACAGGAAAGTTGAGAAAAAAAAAAGTACTTTGGGCGTCGTTAGATATCAGCTGGGAAAAATGTATGTGAAAAGTCCGAATAACTAGCTCAGACCTTAGAAAACTATTGCGAGAAAGTCTGTGACATCATGTAGCATCACTAGTTAATACTTTATTCTTGTTCTAACATGAACACAACCACGATATTTTTATGAATTCGATTTATGAAAAGTTAACATACAAGAAAATAAAATAATTAAACAAAAGGCGTAATGCTCAAATAAGTCAAATAACTCGTTATAAACCTTATTTTGTTAAATTGATATGAGGCATAACATTATTACATAACCGTTACTAAGCGCCTGAAAGTATATGCTGTTTTAGCACCACTAATTTAATATATACATAAATAATAGTAAATTATAAGATGCGATTTTGATATTTTATGACCTGAGATATTTCTTACAAATTTAGTGCAAGTAGTGCTTACACTAAATCTGTAAGAGCTGGAGATCGAACTGTGCTTAATGTTAACTGTTCGAGACCGAAATGTGCTTAATGTTAAAAGTGGCCGGTAAATTTAAACACATGACTGTATAAATAATACTATGAATCCCAATAAAGGATCTTTTCGAGCGTCATCCAGCTAATTTTTGTATTAGTCATAGCGAAAGTAACGTGACTGTTAGAAGGTGAGGCGTCTTATGAGTTCGCGTGAGATATTTTGGCATACGATCGTGCTGAAAAATACATGCATTGCACAGACTCAAGTTTATTTCGTGTCAGACACAGGTGCTCAAGGCTTAAGGCTAACTCCAAAATCCGCATACGATGCATGTATTAAGGTTAGGTTAAGTTAGATTGTTAAGGATAAATAGAAATTCACAACTGACATAAAGGAACTCGAAACCTCACTATTCTCTCACTAGCCTTGCGAACTTTCTACCTGCAGTCTGATCCGTGTTCGGCACATATTTCATGTTCTTGTCACAGTAAAGTACTTCACTTTCCCTAGACATCTCCGTGTTGGCTAATATGAACTTTCTTGTCGAAGTCCGAAACTATTTTTACTTCCGACTTTATCCGCCCATTGTGGATAATGTGAACATTACGCAGCTAATTCTCGAATTAGTCAGATTCAAATGTTAGCCGCTACTCGAAAAATGGCATTAAAAAGCTCACCTATACAATTCCTAAGGTCCAGCGCTAAAAGGGACATATGCGTATGGGGATGTCTGCCTCTTACATTTTCTGCGTAAATCTTTCCGGATCAAATTTTTCTGGATTAGGAAAATATTGGGGATTTTGTGTGGCATGATGGCAGGGGACAGACCACAGTTGTCCCAGCAACGATATTAATTCCTTCTGTAAAAGATAATCATTTTTAAGTATTATGTAGAGGACACTTAAACCAATACTATGATATGCGGTTTTTAACAAGGCAAACCGATGCTCTCAGAAAATTGTAGCAACTGTGCTTATTAAAGAAGTACTAATATTAACAGATTTTTAAATGTAACTTAATGATTTCCTGGTCACATATTCTAACACTAGCTTGATGATCACATTGCGACATTTTTAGAAATTTTTTGTTTCAAAATATTAAGTCTTATTACATCTTTTACCTATTTTTACATCTTCATTCAGTTCACGTAGAAAGAGTGGTACACTTGGGTACAGTCTCAGCGATTCTTTGATGACACATTCTAAATACTTCATTTTCCCCAAATCTTCAGTTGTTGTCTCTCTGTCAGAGTCTCCAAATATTTCAAACAATTCTTCATATGCTTTTTCCTGGAAACGGTGAAAAATGTTCGTAATGAAATGTGGAAATGACTCGTGATAAAGAAATGTTGAATCCCAATTTTAATATTTATTTATTATATTTATAGATATTTAATATATCATATTCTTTAATTGTTATATTGTAATATTCTGAAAATTGTTTCGGTACGAAAATAAGTTTTTCGGATCTACCAATAATACATGTAAAAACCTCGTCGCATGTTTACGTTTGCATTTTTTGGATCATTGTATGGTTTTGAAAATAAAATAACCTTTCTATTAAACAATTTTATTAAAATGAATGTTGATTTTTAATTTTTTCTACATTTAAAATCGTATCAACTACTAGATCATTAGCAACAACGTTATTAATTTTAAGGTTAGAGTATCCGTTAGGGTAGACAGTCTGTTGTCAAGAGGACCGCCAGGTAGCTTCTCCGCGAACGCGCCTCCCTACACGCGCACCTGGGTCACTACTCACCGGCCGGAATTGGGAAGGAATTAGAACAATGGCAGGATTTAAGGCACCTCGCATGGTTTGGGCTGGACCCTGAGAAGCAGTCAAGCTCGTTTTTTCGGAACAAATTTTACATGAGATTGTCCGGGAATCGAACCAGGGTCTCTGTGGTGAGAGGCAAGCGACTTTAGCTGAGACACGAGATGGCTTAAAATTTGAAGCTGGTCTTTCATGTTTCTGGATTTGTCACGAACGTTAGGTTTTCACAGTTCATTAGAATTTTAGACGATGGGATCCAAATAAGGATCTCGCCCAGACGGACAAAGACGAACAGATGGGTCTACAACCGTGAGGGCAATACTGCCGCCAATGAAACCATTTGGCTCCATTCTTTCTCCGAGAATCGGGTTATTGTTGGATGCATCTGAACGTGTGTGTGGGAAAATTTTTATGGGGTGCGATTTTGGTCGAAATTACTAAGAGTTTTTCTGAACGGTTTGTGAAGAATAGAACAATAATTATTGCTTTAAATGTCTGGCAATTTGTTTATAATAAAATGTACATTGACCTAGACACCCATTCTTTATTTATAAACTCTTATACTAATATTAATACTAAGTTTTTAAATTATAAACAGAATAATAATTATATTATACGTTAAAAGAAGGTTAATTTGGAATAAATAAAACATACAATCTAAAATATGTTTTATTGCATAGTCTAAGCACAAAGTTCAGGCCAAAGAGTGTAGTCCTCATCTGGTGTGTCCCTTTACCACATCCAAAGAGTTCTTGATCTTCGTATGGCTTCCGCACCTTTGAAGAAAGTGGCCACTTACGGTACTTATATTAGCATTCGGTTGCCTTAAAATTAGGATGTACTCTTAGTAGAATTGAGCCGTTCAGAGAGAAAGCGGTGTAAGTCAAATTTTGGAAGATTTGAGTTGAGGGAGGTGTTTTTTTGTTTCATTACGGGATAAAATGGGATATTTCTTTCACGGGATAATAATTCAATATGTCTTTGCTAGAGTCCAGTACAATGTCGAAGTGGACAAGTTGCTTATACCGCTGCATGCAATTGTTGTGTAAGACGCAGCTGGGGCGAAACATCAGCTTCCACGGGCTCCCAAGAAATAGCTTTTTGTTTACCTGTACAGAAGCACCTCGGGAAAAAATCTAAAAAGTTTAATCGCTTTTAGTGATTCGTTCACAGGTCGAAATCGCAACTTCAAAATTATTCTCACTTGGATGGAAATCGCGACAAAGGTAATAATTTAAACGTTATTGATCACAAATTTCTTGTATCAGAGCACTCATTTATGAAAAATGACTCCGATTTTGGAAACAGATGCTACCTGCCAATGATAATATTCATCGTGGTCCCTCTGACTGGTATAATACCATCCGTTCAGCCCAAAAGAAGAACAGAACGTGAAATATCAATAGCGTTCCAGTGGTTGCTTCCACTGGCCTGGCGAGCTCTAACAAGTACTCATAGATGATGGTTTTTGCTGATGTGGAAGAGCGAAGAGTTCAAATACCACAGAAAAGTGCTTGCCTACTCAATGCTCTGTCCCGTCACAGAAAATTGTACTGCTCCGAAACGAACTGCCGAGCAAAGCAAGTGCCCGACGCGGCCGCGCAAAAACTACTCGTTTTTTCAAAACATTGTACATGACCTTTTTTAAAGAGATAATTTTGTATATCAGCCTTTGTCTGAGGCAAACATCTCTATCTTCAATTTTGTAGTTTTGAATTTGTTTTTTGCAATTTTCGAAAAAAAGGGCAATGCTCGAAAATGGGATTAGAATACTATTTTTACCGTCCCATATTACATATGTGGAGAAAATATAAAGAAACATTTATGAGCGGTTTTTCGAAACTCAAGTTCGTAATTTTCAAGAGCGTACTACGCAGAAACTGTCTTTTTTTAAAAAAGAGTACATAACCGTATTTATATAGCTAATTTTGTACAACAGACTGTCTGTGGCAAAAATCTCTATCTTTAATTTCGTAGTTTTAAAAATTATTTTTTGCCATAATCGAAAAACCGAGCAATATCTTAAAATGGTATTAGCAGCATCGTTTTATCCGTCCCTTATTATATTAGTGTAGAAAATGTAAAGAAAAATTTGGAGCGGTTTTATAGACAAGAATTGCGATAATTAAGCAAACATTTCTCATTTTTTGCAAAAAATGTACATGACAATTTTTAAAGAGCTAATTTTATACAACATACTTTGTCTGAGACAACATTTATATTTCCAAGTTTGTAGTTTTAAATTTTATTGTTGCAATTTTTGAAAAATTGAAGATATCAACGAAAATGAGATTTGCACCATACTCTTAAACGTCTTTCGACTTCTCAACAGCACAATTTAATAAAAAAATTTGGAACCATTTTTTTGAAAATTGGGAAAACGTCCTGGGGGCTAAATGTAAAGTTCCCTCCCACCAAAACAATTAAATTATGGGTTTCAAAATCCAAGGGCTTTGACATCACCCAGAACGGTTGGGGAATATCAATGGGCAATGCTCGAAAATGGGATTAGGGCATTGAGAAAATGGGATTAAGAAAATCGGCGGAACCATTTATGCCCTAGCGTTGTGCACAGATCGACAGACAGACAGGCATGCGTTTTGCTGTTAATCGATTTTTTGTGTGGCGTCATATCAGTCCCCTTGTACAAACTTACCAAATATCAGCCATGTGCATTTCATGCTCATGGACAATGCTGGCGGAAAAGACGCTGGGCTGAACAATGGAAACCTGGGGAGCGGAAGGGAAGGGGTGCCTTGTCGTGTGTTGAGAACCCGTAGCAGGCTAGCAGCGGGAACGGTCTGCGAACAGCGAGATGACACAGTTTCGTCAGGCCGCCCAGAAGTAATATAAACGGACCCCGGACCTAAAACTCCTTCTTCTGATTCTTGGGCGCGTCGGTAGGAAGTCGTGTGGGTTGTGCGCGCGCTGCATTTTAATGCATAGGCTACTGACGCTGGGAACTGAAGCAGGCGTGGCTACGTCGTGACGGGAGGTGCGACATACTCGCTTGTTATTCTCACGTAGGCTCCTGGTGCATCACACCGTATAATGATATCTAATTATCAGCCAGCGGTGGTGGTAACCAGGGAACATTCCTTCTAGTAACGGGTCAATATTGTTTATTGTAATTATAGAACATAGTATTCAAGGTGTTGGAGCATTTTTCAAATAAATACTTAATAATTTACAAACCGTTCACGTCTGTGATTTATTGCCCCGTCAAAGACGCCTCATTTGATTTGAAGGACGCACAAAACACGGATTGTGGCTACAACAGGTGTTAGAGGATTATTTTTCTATATTTAGCAACTGGATTTATCCACTTTTTCCTGGCCACGATCAGCAATAAGAGTTTTCGTGTCGAAAATTCGCCGTTTTCCGGTCACGATTATAATACTTTCTCTCCTTACATTAGTAAGTGCGAGAAAGTAAAAAAATGTAGGTTCATAATTGTAAGAAGTCGCCAAACAATTTTTGAATTTTCGAAAAATCTGGGTTTTTAACTAACCTGCACCATTTTCTTAAATGCCCTTTACGCTATCCAACAACAAAATTTAACTTTCTGCAATTTTCGAAAACAAGAGACTGTTGAAAATGGGATTGACGTTATATTTCTTAGCGTCCGTTATAACATATGCGCCGAAAATTTAAAGCAAAAAATTGGTGCAGTTTGTACATTTTTGAAAAAAATAATTGCCTATAATTCGCACAAAATTACACGAAAAATTCTTACTTTTAAAAAACATTTAACGTGAACTCATTTTAAGATCTGTCTTAAAAATCAGATTTCATTAGAGAAAATCTCACTTCAAAAGTTTGGTTGTTGGAAGACACCCAAAAAAATGCACTTTTGTAATTTTCGAAAAATCAGGAATTTAAAAAAAACAAGAGAGCTGCAGAGCATTACCTTAAGTGATCCATACGCTATCCGACGCCAAAATTGAATCAAACAATTTAGAGCCATTTTTGAGAAAAGTTTTATGTTTTTGAGGATTCATGTAAAGTACAGCAGTGAAACAGTCCGATTTTTTAGTTGAAATTTACAAATTCTTGACTTCGTTCAGATCGAACGAGAAATATCAATTTTGAAGAAAATCGGCTAAGCGGTTTAGGTGCTAGTGTCGATCACAGGCGAACGGACGAACAGACACGTTTTACCGCCAATTGATTTTTCGGTATCAAGGACCTACAAAACATTAATTGCGGCTACACTATCTGTTAGACGAGTAAGTAATTTACTACATACAGCTACAGTATTTATCCACTTTTTCATTATCAGGTCCCGTTATTAAGAGTTTTTTTGCCGCAATTGAGTAAAGTAGTGCGAGGAAGTAAAACTTTGGACCATCAACGTCACTTTTTGCTGTTTTTGTGCAATTTGATGTGGTTGAAGTAATACTATTACTTCATAGTAGTAAACAAGAAATGGGAAAAGCAGTGTTACCTGGCAATCTGGATGTTCAGCTAAAGACCACAAGCAGAAACTTAAACCTGAAGATGTGGTGTCATGACCCTAAAAATATAGAGTCAAATTAAACAAAACAACGAAAATGAGCATTTAGTGAATATCTATTGAAAATTTTACTTACTTCGAACATAAAAGTATCAACTTCTTCACGAATATCTTCAAGAGTTAAGTTCCCACCATCTTCATTGTATTGTAAGAGCATATCCAAGAAGGCTAATCTTTTCTTTTGACCTGAAAATAAGAAAATAAAATATAGAACGGGCACAATAACCAATAATTATTTGCTTTTTTACATCGCACTTTATATGTCACGCACACACGAACATTGTCGAATGTTTGGAAAAACGGCTATGCGTAACTCAGTTTTAAAAGAAAATTTAAAGGAAGATCGACGAGATCTCATTAAATTATTCACAATTTTTTGAAAATGCCCCTGAGGCTTCATGTACAATACCCCAAAAATTAAAATACCGGTTTTAAATTTAATGGGTCGCGACTTCAGTCAGATTGGGAAATATAAATTTTGGAGAAAGCCGGCTAATCGGTTTGCCGTCAAGACGAGCCTTTGCCGTCAATCGATTTTTTGTTATCAAGGATCCATAAAAACATAATTCTGGCTACACCACATGTTAGAGGTTTTTCTAACCTTTCTAAACCTGAAATGTTAAAAAACATTCTGATTCTTGTGCGCAGAGGGCGCGGAAGCGAGGTAGTGGAAACGTCTATAGACCTCCGGCCCCCCGCTATGTGTTTCCAACCCCCCTAGCCACGACGCTCGTGCAAGCGGGAGTGCCTGGTCACGACAGAAAGAGGTTATTATTGCGAATAAATAAATGGGCGTAGCATATTGCGCGTAGCAAGGCCACACCAGGCTTAGTGCCTTGCATCTGCATTTTCTGAGCGAGAGCGAGAGTGCGAGAGAGAGGGAGAATGCGAGAGGAAGAGATTTTTTGAAAAAATGCGAGAAAGCATGTGCACCACTAGTTAATAATGTTCATACTTCACGCAATATTACGCGAAAACAACTAAAACGTTCAAAAAAATTTACATGACCTAAATGAAAGGACAAATTATGGAGAAATAATTTTATTTGAAGGGAAATATTTTTTCCATTTTGTAGTTGTAAGAAAACTTCGAAAAAATTCAAACTTTTGCAACTTTGGCATTTAAGAGTTTACAGAAATAATCGGACTTATGCCTCCTTTTCAAGAGCACTCTATTATTACATGAAATTTAATTAAAAAATGGAATCATTTTTGAGAAAATTTTGACAATGTGCCAGGGGCTTCATGTGAAGTACCTCCAAAAATTAATAATGAATGTTTTTCAAAATCGCAGAACTACACGTGAGGTCAGATGTACAGGGATTTATTCAGTTTGGAATAAATACTACGTATAGTTAGGCTCTTTTGTTCACAACGACCGACAGACTGACGGACGGACGAAAAAAACAATAGTTTTCGGTATCAGGGGACCACAAAACGTGTATTTTCGTTGAAATCATGAAATCGATTTTTTACAGCATTACGCAACTTTTTCTATACTATGTACAATACTCCGTATACCAGAAATTAAAAATTATTCGTTAACTTGATTTTTGCTTTCTACAACAATTTACCTAGTCATAAAATCAGAGGTGTAAGAAAAAAAATTGTTAAATATTTTAATTTTTTCTACTCATTAAGTACATTAGTTTTTCATTCATATATCATACATCATATACCATATATCATAATATACTCTAATCTTATTTTTTTCTTCTTCTCAAACTTACTTACCAACATCGTTGTGATTAACTGTACCAGAGTTATCTATCTTTTTACCATTACAAAGATCTTTCTTCCTTTGTTCTATTACCTAAAACAAAGAATAACAAACAATTTTAAATTGAATATTTCTTTGCAGCTTTTTACAATTATTTACTATAGTGTTCTCACCTTGTAAGACATACTGTGCAATGCTTTGATGAGGTCTTTTTGTTTTCTTCCTTTTGGGCTCAGATTGAAGATAAATTCAGGAAAATACCATGGGCTGATACTTCGTGAAACTATTGTATCTGCTAATCTTTAAAATAAAATATTATATGTATAGCAAAACACGTAATAAATTAAACATTAAACAATTAAAGCCGGTTCACAAATTTAAGTTAAAAGTAAAACCGTTTCTGATGCATAACTGTTTCTATACAATTACAGACAATAGATGGCCCCTCGTGTTGCTTCTGGGCGTAAATGTAGCTTCACTATAACGTTTTGTTGAACTCTCCTTTTGCTTGTAATGGTAAGAGTAGAGGTAAGGGCGAGTTGCTATTTTGTTAGTAATGTAGAAAAATCATTCTTGCAATTCATGTACTGATGCAAATAAGTCTTCTATTGCTGAGAAACGAAAATGACTATTTTTCTAATATTGCTAATCTTACAATTTTTAATATTTATTTTTAATTTCTTTTTAGTTTATTTATTTATGTTAAAATTTTACTCCCCTTTCAACTATTTATAGTTAAAATGAAAGGCAGGGATTCTAGAACTCACGAAAACGTGTGCAGATAATCTTTTCCCCATGTCACATGTAGTTTTTACTGTTTTTTGGACTGAATAAATCTAAAAATAAATCACCTTTCAAAATGCGCTCACGAAGCGCAGGAAAGTCGATGTGAGCGACTAAGTTTGACTACAAATTACGCAAATAATTCTCGTCCTTTCGAAAAAATTGAATATAAACTTATCTGAAGACCTGCTATTGATGAACACATTTAATTAAGAAAAAAAATGAATCTCCAATTTTTTAGTTGAAAGTACATGCCGAATTTTTTTTTTTTAATTAGGAAATTAAACGAACACGAGATCTGCAACATTCTCGTAAGCGTTATTTACATTATCCGAGGTCCAAATGTATTCTAAATGGTGGTGCTCCAACAGTACATACATTCTCGCGATATTGTCAATGGTTATGTAATATTGTAATAGGAGAATTTCTGTCTGACACTTCAACTACCATTTGAATAATTCTTAAAGAAAGGAAGCGCGAAAAATACATATATTCGTAAACAATATGTAAGAAATTAAAGCATTTAAGTTAATAAATAACACGATACTCGTAGCGTTGGCAAACTAATGCAAATAGATCGAAAAATATAATATATTAGTAATTATTAAACACAATGGCATTGCCATATTCTACAAATATATAAAAGTATTAGTTTCTATTACCGGGAATGAAAGACAACTGTCTATCCGTGCGGCTTTTCAACAATGGGTTACAATAATCAACAATGACCGCTCATCTATTCGTTTTTACATTTAATACAATGAAAGGACGCAATTTAAAATGATATAACATAAATATAATAGATACTACTACTACTACTACTACTACTACTACTACTAATAATAATAATAATAATAATAATAATAATAATAATAATTTGTTAGCTAGCGACTGAAGGCTCACAATCTTTATTAACATTAAATTTAAATACAATATAATCAGTACTCATGGGACCTACATATACCCTACTACACGGGGGGGAGATGGGAATGTCAATACCTTGTCCCTAGTGCGTACTCGTGATGTTCCGGTTAAGATATATTCTCTTCTAGAATTAAATTGAATATTTTGAGGGGTGTGTGTTGTATTGTATTTGAATGGTAAATAAAACTTCACAAAAAAATAGTGGTCAGTAATATTTGTTTTTCTTTTAGCGAAGAATTATTAATTATTTTATTTAGAAAGAGGATGAAGTGGGCCGGTCAAGGCAAGGACCCGCGCTTTACATGCACACCATCCCATATGACCAATGTCCATCAACTAAAGATTGGCCAAGCAATGTAAGACAAAACGGGCAGGAAAAATAATTCTTTGGAATAGGCTGCCCTGTTTTGGGCATAGAAAATGTATTATTAAACACTATTTGTGTTAATTTACTGAAGGGAATAGTGGTCATAAACGAGTATGTTGAATTAGCTTAGGTGCTAACCTACTTCGTTCTAGTGTTTGTGCTAAATAACAATACAATAACAAGAAGTTGTTAGTTAAAGCAGAGAACTCGGTGCACCCTAGAGAAGCGAACGGATGAAGGGGAAGTGGATGGAATGGGGAAGAGGAAAAGAAGGGAGGGGGAGAGAGCTGGGAATAGGAGGAAGTAGCAGGGGTGCCTCTTTGTACCCTGCCTCGAACATTGCAGAAAGCGCTCTGAAATAAATGAATCAAACTTCTCTAAGTGCGAATTATTCATGACCGGATAAGTTGGAGACGCCCCCAAAGAAAGGCTATAACCTTTCTTATTTATTTTCCTTTTCGCAAACCACGTATCCTTTTGCACAGAACACTTACGCGTATGAATGGCCTCGTACTACACTTCTTCATGACGTCAACACACAATTCGTTCCTCTTTGCCAACATTATAGAACACATACACACATTTGCTACGTTACCCCGTCACTTCGAACCCACTTCGTTTGAATCCTCTTTATTACATAAAAACACCTCTTTCGGCACCACGCGTAAATAATCATATTTATGCTCATTGCCGTAACAAACGACGATCAAAGGCACAAATCACAAAAATTAAGAAGAGCGCAAGAATAATAACTGTTCGACAGAAACTTAGATAATCACTATGACAATTACTCCGACATAAAATGAAAGCATTACAATTATTTCAGAGGCTTAATTTTCATAATTTATGTAGATAGCCCTTGTCTTACTAATTGTAATAATTATGTATCACACTACACGCATTGCTCTTCACACTTACCCAACGATTCTTCTCAAAACTCTCTATTGTGTATTTCCCCTCGTCCTTGCGACCTTAAGGGACGGTTTAAACGACTGCTTAAGTTGTAGGAGATAATGTGACACCTTGAAACAGTTTTCAACCAATTGTTTTTTACAATTAAAGTCGCAATCTATTAATGCCAACAATTTAATAAATGCACTACAGTTTTAAATTTATCATATATATATATATATATATATATATATATATATATATATATATATATATATATATATATCACTGTTCTGTTAAAATAAACATGTTTTTTCTTTTTGATAGTCAGTATAGTATCTAATTATATAGAAACAGATTTTACTTTTAACTGAAAATTTTGAACCGACTTCAATTGTTTAATGTCATCTGGCAATGCGTTGAAAACTAACGTACATGTATTGTATGTGGATTTGTGATAGTGAGCTCTTCATACTGGCACTTGATGAACGTGATTTCTACGACGTGTGTTGTAATCATAAATATGTGTTGCATAAAAATATGTTCCCAGAGTTACGTAAGTCAGTTATGACATATATTACGCTTCGATAATAACAGGGTAAAAATAGGTAACAGGTAAACCGGAAAACGTAATAACAGGTGAAACCTGTTCCAATGTACAACACCTTCCTTCTACCGTGTATCCTACTCCAGCCGAAATGTTTATCTTTCGTATCAATGAAATAGTGACCAATTATTCTAGAAACATTACATACTTATGCAATGTTGCAATGTATTCACAATTCTGGTTGTTTTGAACATTCATCTGGACTCCCATAGCAGCGTCTGAAATTATAAGATGATTACTATGCAGGTTGAAGATAGCTGATGTAATATTTTTCCAGTTTCCATCTCAACTTACCACATATTACATCTAGCGTGTACAGAGTAATGTGTTTGAAAATGTCAAATTCAGGGCCACCAACTTGTTGCTTCCATTTACTGATTAAGACATCTGCATTGGAATTGAATGAATCCATAAAACCTTCAAGTATTTTGAAATGAAAAGCTTGAGTAATTATTTTCCTTCGGGATTTCCACTTGCTACCTGGTTTTGATCAGACAATTGTTAAACACTTGAAAGGATGACAAATAGTTTGTAAAATATTAAATCCTTATACATACCAATAACAATGTTCTTATTAATATTTAAAACATGATTAAAGTTATACCGCATGATATTTCTCTTAATTCGGTTCGTATGTAATATCTCAGAGGCACCTGCAAAGGATTTGAACTGTACCCAATAATGCGGTATTTCCCATTTGATATGCTACTTGCATCAAAGACCCATCAAGGTGCTAAAATGTTTCATGGGGTATGTGGTTACAGCCTTTAGAGCTTAAATTACAATCGTGAAACAATTTTATATTCTTGTTTTTCAGGAAAAAATATTAAAATTATGTAAAATATAAAATAAAAAAAGTGTATAATGAGTTATGAAATTACTGTTCTAATACTTTTTTAAGAATTGTATGTCCACTATTTAATTTAAATCCTGTTTTCTGAACATATCCGAATATTTCCACGAGGTCTTGTGTGGCATCAAGTACAGGTACTTAAAATGCGTGAACTGTTGTAGGATCTATCTTGTCAAATTCCTGCCCTGAAAGCCCCGATATCATTCTTTGCATGAGATGTAGCATTCCCTTTTAATTTTTTAGTCGAATTACCATATAATCTATTAATGCCTCAAACTTGCGATTTTGTACAGGTAAATCCACTCATGCTTGGATTTTCTGTTTCTCAGACACCATTTGTCTCGTCGTGTCATTCGATACTTGGTAATTCTATTCAAAATGGACTATTCGTGTTTGCATTTTAGAGATGTTTCCATTGGTTTAGAACAGCGATGGACCACTGGCGGAAAAATAACGTCAGAACTCCATTCCCATCCCCGTTCAGGCGATAAGAGAAGCAGTGCGAGCTAAGGGGGGAGGGAGAGAGGGGTAGATAGCTGTGGCCGATGACGAATGCCTTGCAGTGGCAGTGGGTCTTTGCCAGTATTTCAAGAGACATGAGAACCCATCTAAGCGCGATAATTTTCTTTCAATTTGGGAAGAAATGCTTTCTTCGGTAGATACCGTAACAATAGTGAAGTGTTTAGTGTGTTCGAAAAACTGCAGTATATTTAAAAGTTGAACTAGAGGCATTACGCAGACTTGCAACCCAGAGAAACCCGCGAGATGAATATAATTTCTGAGGATTTACAGATGGCCTGCAACCATGGGATGAGGAAAGGATTTTGAAGATAGAAGCTTATGGAAAAGGTTCTGAAACAAAATATCCCAACATTCTCAAACAAAACTGTACAGGAAATAATGAAGCAAAACAGTTTACATAGCTGTACGCCGAAAGAAAAACTCACGAGGCCAAGTGTGTTAGATACGGTGATGGGAATATGTTACGCTCGTCACATACCTCCTTTACCCCCAGTCGCGGACAAAAAATAAAAACGGGACCCAGACCTTGAAACACAGCTAGATGGCTAAGGTCGGTGTAATGTGGAACCAAATTCCCAAAACATACGAGTACAGTAATTACATTAAAAAATTAAGTGTTTGGCACAGACGGATGGGTAAACCAATTATCAGTTTACAATCTATCTTCTGACAGAATTGCTTAATGAAATATTTTAAATCTGTAAGTAGAGAAAGAGCAATTCCGTACCATTTATCTTAAACGTTTATAATTGAATGATAATAATGTATTTTTATTTACTTAATTCTTTTTTCTAATTTTTAAGTTTTTTTATTTTGGGAAACCTCAACAGATTTTGCCGGTACCTTAAGACTCATCACAACCATAAGCAATTTTTGAAGATTGTGTATTCAGTTATTCAAAAAAGTAATAAAATGTCCAAAATTTCTTACCTGATGATGTTAGAAGTCCAGTACTTAACCATGGCTGCAGGAATTCATAATTCATGCTTTTTTTAATATTGACTGTAGACTTGAGGAGTGGCTGGAATTGAAGCAAATAGTAATCATATTTTGTATCAGTCTAATCAAATGACGTTCAAATGGTCCGATTCTAGAAAAAAAAGTGTGGGTCCGGAGGTTTTGTGACACGGGTTGTCTATTATGTTTTGGTGGTGATGAATTCGAATTTTTCATTTCGAAAAAGATCCGCTTCACACAGAAAATCGAAAAAACAACCAAAAGCTGCGGCTTTGTTACATTTTTTGGCTTATGTCTAGAAAATGATGCATTTTAAGGAAAATACAAGTGTTTTGTTCAATTTGTAATTTTAAGATTAATATTTTCCATGTTCTGTTGCAAGAGTGTGTTGCGAATAGGTAACGTTTGGGCTTCCGGCCAAAACGGAAAGGGTGCGTCCACTGCCGAAGATCTCGCGAGAGAGCGGGCGGCGCGTACACCGCACCGTTCGCGCCCATTCTATTATTTGTTCTCTTTGTATTTATTAAGAGACCATTGGCTCTCTACATATAGCAACAGAATTTATCCGCTTTTTCGATACCCTGGAATAAGTATTTCGGCCCCTCCAATAAGAGTTTTCTGCCGAAAATTGTTATTGTAATGTTTTTTTTCTGTCGTTTCCCGATACACATAACTTTCTCCTCTTACAAAAGTACCATCGTAAGGAGAGAAGGGAAAAAAATTCTTAAATAGAAACTAAAAAAATATTGAATAAAGGGTGTATAAAAGAATATAATTGCACTCGTGGTAAATAAGAAAACTCACTCCTTTCGTCGCTCGTTTTATTGAACTTGAACTCGTGCTGTTATACTCCTTTTTATCCACTCGTATTGTTATTACTATAATGATTGCCTGAAATATTTCATATCAATTTAATTTTACTGAGTTATTCCTAATTTCGAGTTACTGTTTGTATCCGAATACCCATACTAAGGAGTAGGAGTCTTTAGAAGAGACACATCTTCAAACTAAAAGGATCAAAAGTACAAAATTTTCAGACAAACATGCAGTATTTATTTTGACTTTAATCAGTACCGCGTATGGTACCAGGTCCTCTCTGGCAATGTGGGAGTAGTAGCACGCGAATCTACCCGAGATGGTTGCACAGGCTTCCGCGCCAGACGTTTGTATGATCTAGGCTATCCGGGATGAGCCGCGTCACTGACATGGTGGCTAACGTTTCGGCCAGCGTATTGTGGCCTCCTCCAGAGCTTCCTGCGTAGAGTACTTTAATTGGCACCTCGGAGCGCGCTGCTGAGCTCTGCCCGCTGTTCGCTCTGAGGAAGGCCACAATACGCTGGCCGAAACGTTAGCAACCGTGTCAGTGACGCGGCTCGTCCCGGATAGCCTAGATATTTCTACCCGAAATTGCCTCAGTGACAATGGGTTCCCACAGTTTTTTCAGTTTGTCACCGGAGGTGAATCTTTTAAGGGTTGCGTCGGTGCCTCCGTACCGCTCGCCGAAGGCCCCCGCACAGCAGGGAGGTGTTTCGCGGGTCGATAGTGCTGGCCCAAGGGCTCTGCCCCAATGTGCGCGTATTTTTTGCTTTTTCGTAATTAATACGGTTTCGAGTCTGCCCCTATGAGCCAACGCGGCCCCACATCAGTGCCATCTGCAACTACCAAGTCAGGTGTATCCCCTTGCTGTACGACTCGGTTGCCAACAGCACGCTCCACCCGTCCTGCTCAGCGGCATCCAGGACATGACCTAGCTCGGGATTATCTCGCCGGATCCAAGAGGCGGAGCGAGGCGACCTGTGCTATGGTTTCCGAGCCGGAATGTTCACGGCTGCTGCGCTGGTGAGACAACAGAGACGCACAGGTGAGCCGCGCGGAGTGCACCAATTTATACGTCCTCCATCCCTCCCCCCCCCCGTGGCCGGAGGGATGAGTGCTACCGTTGACCCTCACGCCCTCCTCCCCACGAAGACACGAAGTGCACTTTTGACAGATACCGAATGGTAATACTTTGCACCACAAACAAGGAATTTGACTTTCGGTATTGAAATAATATTTTCTTGACGAATTTCACATTTCCGTTGATAACTCAACTTTTTATCAAAATGTTGCTTAATGCAACTGTTCACTGTGAATGATCTACTTAAAAGAAATTACCTCCATGAATACTGGATCACCTACAAGTATAAATAGATAAGGGCCCACCCAGCCTCTGTAAACGTATCCATGCTCTTTTGCCCAATCAAATAAACTTTTATAAACATCTGAAACAAAAATTAACAAATATAAAAATCGAAATAAATAAAACAATTTCGGATTAGTTACATCATTTCTAACTCAAAACGGCTGGACCAATATTAATTATCTCAAGTTTGTTGGATTCATCTCTGCCCCGTAAAGCACAATAATCATTAAAATATCGGCAAAATTCACACCCACACACACACAAAACCCTAAATAATGATGACAGAACCCGTAACACTGGGCAGAATTTATGACTTTATATCGTTAAATAATTCCTAAACGAAGCGTTCTAGGGCATTTGAGACCGAAGTCTTCAAAGAAATGTTTCTCACACCGTAATCTACAGAATGAGATCTTCTTGATCAACCCGCCTGATCACAGTCGTGCATAATCTGCAACTGAAAGGGCATGAGAGGAACAGAGAGAGTCAGAGAGAGAGAGAGAGTTAGAGAGAAAGTGAGAGAGTGAGTCAGAGAGTGTGAGTTAGAGAGAGAGAGTCAGAGAGAGAGAGTCAAGTCAGAGAGAGAGAGAGTGAGTCAGAGTGAGACGGAGAGAGAGACGGGGAAAGACGGGGAGGAAGAGAGGGACAGAGAAGAAGAGAGAAGGGCAGAACGTCTGCCGGGTTCCGCTAGTGTCGAAATTATTGACATATTATTTTTTTTCATCAAATTATTTCACAAAATCAATAGTGTTCAAATAATTTGTAATAAAATGCATATAAGATGAATTTCACACATCGCTAGTTACCATTTGTACTATATAATTCCAAAATTAAAATATACATGTAAGAAGTATTGTCCTTCAACTTCGAAATTCACGTCACCCATTCCCGAACAGGTTTTTCGTATAATTTCCCCTGATCTAATGAGAAAATTTTCAGGTGGCTCCTTACTTTGCTTTTGATTATACTGAATATAGCTCCATTATCTGTTTACGATTACTTGACCTCTTTGAGATATTCATGGAGTTATTTAAATTCTCTTTCTCCACGTTCTGGCGGCAGTTAATCGATTTCTTCGCATGGGGCTCGATAAGAGATGAAATCTGCGACACATTTGCCACTGCAATTTTTTTAATCAGGGGCGTAGATTTTTTTCTAATCTGGCCAAAACCACTAGTTGCGACCTGTATTGATAAATAAAATTAATATAATTGTGATTCTAGGATAGTGATTCTAATCTGAAGAAAACGTGCACAAATTTCACTTCTCCCATATAGTAAGTCTTACACAGATTTAACTTTTTTGTGTAATGCAATACGTAATTCGTAACTTAATTCATAAAAAATGGGTCTTCGCTTTTCGTATAGAAAGACGTCAGCTTGCAGAAACTGTATGTAGTTGAGTTAGTAAGTAGTAGCTATGTCTTCGCTACTGAAGCTTTGAATACCGAAGAGGGCCTCGGTTTGACTTTCAAAGTGGCGATTTTTTTATTTTATTTAAGTACCCGAGACAAACGATGCCGCGGTGTGTATGGAATTCAGCAGATATTTTACTTTAATCGGCTTTCACCGTTTTCCTCCGGTCAATTGAAGAGTTTATTTATTTATTTATTTACTTGCTTATTTATTTATTATTTACGTCACAAACAGTTAAAAACTGTGTGTGACGTGCTATGGGTAAAAGTTAATTTGAAGTTACATTTCTGTCCAGAAGCAAAACAAGGGGCAGTCTCAGCATTTGCTCGAGGATCGGGAAAACTGGACGAAAACCTGATCGAGATGGGGGTCATTGACCCAGAAGCTGAAGTACAATCCTTGTTATAGGTTCTTTAGAACTATACAATCCAAATGGTAAATAATAAAATAATGGTAATAAATGTCATTGTTAAAATTAATATTACTTTGCCTTTGAATGCTCGGTATAGTCTCTAATTGTATAGAAACAGTTGTGAAGCAGAAAATATTTTACTTGGCACTTAAACTGAGGGGGTTGATTTCACCACCTCTGTTATTTAATTATTATTAGTGATTCAAAAGTCTTTTGTAAAACATTCGTTACGTCTTTCTCCCATGACATCTCTTCAGCCCTCTTTGGGCGTTGAGCGTTTTCTGTACTTTAGAGTAATCCGCTAAGTCATCTGTCATGTATCTCGTAGCGTTGCAGTAAGCCGAAGTCGTTCACACCTTCGGAGAAAGGCTCGGTACCGTTACTAATGATATGACGTTCGTTGCACAGCGGCCAATCGAACGTTTTGGTCTTCCAATTAGCGGACGTCGAATTGATGGACCTCAACAACGCAGACTCAGCGCCTGTCGCGTCGCCATAGAATTATGGTTTGTTTAGGCAATTTGAAGACTTTGGAAAGGATATAAAACAGTTGAGCAACGTCAAAGACTGCATTGCTCTGCGAAATGTATTTTTCCACCAACCTATGGACCAACTGAAAACGTCTCAAACTGTCAGCTCAGTGTCTGTAGATGGAAGTTAAGAGATAATATTTAATTGGTTCCAATGCCGTCAATAAAAATAAGATTGTAAGACTTGGTGCAAACCATGTCTAAAAGCAAATGAGAATTGTAAATTAAGCCATTAAACGGATGGAACCAGACACCAACTTGCTTTAGTATCCATGAGTGCCAAAAACCGTTCTCATGATTGGACATGCAATACCGCTTGCGTCCTGTGAATGGACTTACCCACTGGATTGCGACCAATAGAGAGAGCCGCTCCAAAGATCGGCCACGACCGCGGCCCCGGCAAGAAGCGACTCGTCTCGCGAGCAGGCCGAGACCAGAAGTAGACGTAATACTGAATGGCGCCCAGCACTAGCAACACTAGTGCGAACAGGGTCCAGGTGTCCATTTTGGGCTACACAGCACAAACGCAAGGCAAGGAGTTATTTAACGAAATTTGCGACTTGCAACGCAAAACTTACGACTATTGGGATTATAATGAAATATGACCTGTCGATGGTACAACATCAAAAACTTCAACAGAAAGTATCAGAATTTGAAGTTGTTGAACATCGCTACGAACGAATTATTTATAAGTTCCCTGACGGCCTTTCTGTGCGCTTTTCCGCGAACCGAGGCTGCGTGAAAAACAGAGCGTGCCCTCAGATCAACCCAGAGCGGTGGTGGTTACAAAACATAGAAGCGAATTTATCCTGTCGGACACGTAATCACTGGGTAAGGAGGGCGCTTACCGACAATCGAAAAAATCTCAAGATAACTTAGGCATATAATTTTTTCTTTTAATGACCTTCAATATTCAAGATATTGTAGCAATATCGATGTATATGAAATCGTGTTGAAACCAAAGAGCGTACAACTGGCGCTTTCTCCAGTGTCTGGTCCCTTCCCAGAAATTGCACCACGCACTTGGCTGTATTACTGTACTAACGTACTTTTATGAATTTTGCTTGTTATTGAAAGAAGACAACTTCAGTTAATTATTAACGATATTACGTGGATTGTTTATGATAATTGAAGAATTTGTTTCATTTGATATTAGTTTTGTTGATTCAAGACGCACATTTGATGAGTTATATGTTTAAATACGGCCGTTTTGGATGGAAGTCTCGTAGTTACTCGTGGTAGTCAGTGTGCTTGCAGCTGGCCAGCAGTTTGCGACCGTTCTTGTGAATACGAGTGCGTGTCGAAGATCTTTCATGATTGCCAAATATACTCGGGTAGTGAAGTTTTCGAAATAAAATAATTTTGTGTGAGACGTGTCGAAGCAATAGTGCTGCTTGGAATGTGCTGGAGTCTAACTTTAGTGCCCAGTGGAAATCAGAGCCAGAACCACATGCGCGGGAAGTGTATATACCTTACACCGACTCGACGATAACATTTTGTATATCGTATTTCAATACATATATTTTAATTTAATTTATAGCGTTTTCATTGCACTGAAACATACCCTAATAAGGGCAAAAACGTCATCGCTCCGCAACAGTGCTGCCTTACACGCGTGAAGCGCAGCTACGAAGAAACGGATTCCGGAACTGAGCCAGTGCGTGTGCGTTGCGCGGCGATACTATAGGCAGCCGTTCTTGATATGTAACTATAGTACATTAGATTTTGAGCCGAAAGGCTCCTGCAGAATTATTTGGTTATTGAAAATTATGAAAGCATTAACATGAGCATTTCTACTCGCCTACGTATAAGTGCGAGAAACATTTCTTGGCACATGTATTTGAATGATTTTTGTAAGGACATTAGTCACTATTTTTATTTTTTACTTTATTAGCGTTTCTAAATTGAGACGTATCTACACTTTGGTTACTAAACAGCCCTGGATTTGTTGACATGAAGTTATTCAAGGTTGATTTTTAGGAGTACACAAACTGATTTTCCAAACTTCGCGTAAACAAAAAATATTTTAAGACATTTCTTGTAAATCATGATGCACTCCTTCATTCGAAGAGCCTCTGTGTGACTCAGATGCCTTCACATTTTCACCACAAATATAAATCAACATTCATAAAGTCCGTACCTAACCTCAAAATGGTCCGGTGCATTCGTCCGGTGACAAGCGCGTCAGCCCTGAGTGCGAACTATCCGGGTCATTGTGCGAATGGAACATGCACAAAGCTGCCCTGAGTGCACATCAGTGCGGCGAATGGAAAACGCTATTAGTTTTAATTAACTTGAATTTATTAATTTTGATTACATATTCGTATTTTGTATTTTGAAAATGACGTTTCTGTCGTTCGATGGAGGCGCACCGCAGTCCGTTGGGGCACAAGCCGCCACTGATGCCGAGCGACCCCTCAACTGAAGCGGCGGCAGAAGCGAATCATCGGTTGAGGTTACAGAGCAGTAAGGTACAGCTAAGGAAGAAAGCTCGAATGCCGTACTCATCTTTTCTGAAGAATATATTTCAGTCACAAGTCTTGAGTGGCTCTTTGGTGCGACTGGTTTAGCAATTACATCAACCGCCGGAAGGAGCCGTTCCTGAATTGCTCGGTTTCAACCGTCAGATCCAATTGGTCTACGATTCGTCATCCTGGATGCTGTTTTCACGCCAACAGGGCGTCTAAACAGGTGATTGTGGAGCTGTCGCAAGCAAGTGTGGTAACTGCTAGGTACTTCTTGTTTTTCTTCTCAGCAAATGTGCATGCTCTGCCAAGGTTTGTAGTAATGAAATAATCTTATCACAACAGTTACTATAAAAAGGAAATAATTTAAACGAATACATATTTTTTTGCTCATTGTTGTGAGAAAATGTTTCTCTAATGCCAAGCAACACGTTTTCTTCTAAAGATGAAGAAATCCAGGAGAATTACTACTCACTGATGCAACCGTTTGCGCCCTGAACTGATATCTTCTACCGCAAGAACTTACATATGAAGACCTTTTTTTAGGGATACACCCGAGTATCTCTCAAGAATCATAATGAGTGAGGTTGTTTTTCCCATGCTTTGGAAATGATAACTCAATTGCATTACACGCCTCAATATTGTCTAATTAGAGAAGAATACACAAGAATTCCTGCATATACATCACATACTTTCTCGCCCCTTTGTAACGGTTATGTAATAATATTATACCGCATTTCCTGTATCAGTCAATGAGCGCTGACAACAAAAGGCGCTTGCAGCGATGGGCGCTGCCAACAGTGGACACATTTTCTTATCAATGATAAGGATCCTTCAATGATATCTTTATCAATGATAAATTTCACATATCGTTCTCTTAAATTTGTATTATTTTTTAAATTCAAATCATACGAATTTTCATTTAGAACTACATGTAATTCTTTATTTAAGTTATGAGCATTTTTATCTAGCTTTTCAATCACTTTGTCTTTTTTTTACTTTCTCGTTGTAGAGAGAAAATTATGTAACGCTGTGCAGGACTAGGTGTTTTGTGGGTCCTTGATACCGAAAAATCGATGGACGGCCAAACGCCTGTCCATCCGCGTATCTGAACAACGCTGGTGGCTAAATCGTTCAGCCTATTTTCCGACCGTGCACCGGTCGATTTCTACCTGTTACCGCCTGCTAAAATGGCTATAAAAGGGAAACGATTCGCTAATTCTGAAGGGGTGTTGGAAAATGCAACCAGGCGGCGTACGTTTGACAAAGTGTGGTATCCTGGATTAATATTCAAACTTAAAGAAATAGGTACCCCTAACTATTTAATTAAATACCATTAATAGCTTTCTCCAAGAAAGAACATTTTCAGTTCACATTAAATAATCACACATCCAACCCCCGCAGAATTATAGCTGGATTAACCCTCCAAGGCTCACCACTGTTCCCCACCTTTTTCAACATATTACACAGCCGACATTCCTTATAACATCACACACGCACATCGGCCCAATTCGCCGATGACACCGCAATTTCATGTCTAATATTCAACTAATCAAAATCTCGTAAACAAATTCAAACACATTTAAATAAATGAGTTGAATGGTCTGTCAAATGGAAAATCAAACTAAATCCTACCAAATCATGCGCCAAAATATTCTCATTAAGGAACATTTTCAACCCCCAACACCACTCGAATAAACCAATAACCCAATTCCCATGATCTCACACAATGAATCTGTTTAAATACCCCTAGGGCCTGAATCTTTGATACCAGACAAATTGGCAAAAATCACATAAACATAAAAAGCACAAGCAACCAAAATAAAATTCAATTCACTAAAGCCACTCTTAAATCCCAATAGAAGCTCTCATTAAACAATGCCCATCACCATCTATAAATTCAATAATCTCATACCCCTAATGCCTTATGCATGCCTATCTGGATCAATGCCTCAAAAACTAATATTACATAAATTACAAGATCATCCAAAATATTATTCCTCAGACTTGCCACTCTCATGCACCCTGCGTTTCATCTCAAACATTCAACTGCATAAAGAAATTTTAATTTTACCTCCTATTACTTTACCATATCCGCGCGTCCTATCATAACAATTTCTTCTCCAAAAGTAAACACAAATACCCCAAAGCCACCCCACTACGGCCTAGACCACCAACCTACCAGCTCCCAACAAGACAATAAAAAATAGATATCCATTAGATTTCATTCCTCAGGCATATTTTCAGAAGTCAATTAATCACAATAGGCTGCTCTTGATTTTCCTATTCATTGGTAGTTAAGATTTAGTTTGTAACGATTAGCATTTAAAGTTAAAAATATAAGTCATAAAAAATACATTATGATCTAGTATAAATAATACTGAACTATGTATATTCGTTTCACTAATAAAGATATTATTATTAAAAAAAAAGCGTCGTACGATATCAAGAAAGGGCTTTCAGGATTGCTTTCAACATTTATATGAACGCTGTGGAGAGGGAAGGTAAATGCAGGAAAGGAGTATTTTGAAGGTAAATGGATTTAATTTCCTGTACTTCTAATAAACGAAACATTTTAACCAATTCCGGAAACTTTTTGACTCTACCGCGTATTAGAGAAGAAATTATCAAAGAAAAAATTTGGAGCTTACATCGAGAATTTAAAAATGTCATATTTTTCGGCAAAATTACACGAAACTAGTCATATATTCGAAACATTTGTACACGTGCTATATAAAGATGTGCCATTTAAGAACTGATTTTATTTAGAACAAAATCTGTCTTTAATATTGTAGTTGTGTGTAAGAAATTGAGTTTTTGCAATTTTTCAAAATTTAACTAAAATGTGATCTATATCATTCTTATAAGCTAACTTCACATTTTTTGAGAAATACATTAAAGAAAAATTTGGAGCCATTTAAAAAAAATCTTGTTCCATTCTCGTAGCTCTAAATTTCGCATTTACAGTAACGCTTAAACACCAATTTTTTCTTCAAACTTTTTGAAAGGGTAATGCTAATTGCACTCTTTAATATAAGGTAGAATTC